AACGCTGTGGAAACAGATTTGCAACTAGGAAAATCAAATACTCATGAATTCAAGGCTGAGGATCTTAGTACAAAGACTTGAAAGAAGTGGGCAGATGGATAGCTGCCATAGTGACAGCCTGGCAGGAGCATGAAAAGTGCTCTGAGGTATAAAAGAAACCAGTTGACAGTGGCCACATCCCACGGCCATCTCATAGCTCGGGTCGCGCGGTCAGTGCGGTATGTGTTTGTGCTGGAAAGAAGGCCGTGGAATTACCTGTGTCTGTAGTCCTTGGCACCTGCTGGCCTCTGTCTCAGGATGGCTTCCTGGCCCTTCTCCTCCCAGCAGACTCTTACTTATATTTTAAGACACTGCTCAGCCTCTTCTCTGACACTTGTCCCTGCTCCCCAGACACAGATCTGTGACTCTTCGGGGCCCTGTAGATAGAAGCCCTTGGTACACACCCCGCTCTCTCCCCGTGCTGGAGTAGAATCGTGCCTTTATCTAATGTGCTTGAGTAGTCTGTCAGTTCCAAGAGGTATTCGCTTTTATGTCTCTATGAGCTGTCATGGAACCTAGCTCAGGATGCTCTGTAAAGCACTGTTGAATGAGCGTAAAGCCCTCGATCCCTCTCATGAGGCCGCGGTAGTAAGTAACAGGGTCCTAAAACCATGAGCATTGATCGAGGCTTGGAACCGTCACAAGGAGTTGTACGTATTTACTGTTTCAGTCAGGTATCACTATTTCCAGTTAATCAAGGGGGATGAACAGTGGGAAATTGCAATGATTAGTACACAGATGCTCCTTCAGCACGGCTACCATCGAACTGGTGAGAATGAACCAGACTTAGAAGACATAATCTTTTTTTCTTTAAAGATTTTGACAGAGAGCACAAGCAGGGGGAGTGGCAAGGAGAGGGATAAGCAGGCTCTCCGCTGAGTAGAGAGCCCATAATGGGGCTTGATCCCAGGACCCTGGGATCATGACCTGAGCCGAAGGTAGATGCTTAACTGACTGAGCCACCCAGGTGTCCCTAGAAGACATATTCTATTATTAATTAGGTCTTTCATTTAGTATTTTCAACACTCCTTCAGTCTGCATATTTACATGATTGATACAATTATTAAAGAAGAGATTGACCATTTCTTTATAAACAAGATTTATTTAACAGATAAGGAAATTGAAGCACAAGGATATACCTGTGGGAAATTGAACGACAAAATGAGCTTGGGATGCTTGTGTTCCACTTTGACATCTAGCAGGGAAAATATTCTCAGCTGAGGCCTGTCTTGGCTAATTTAACTGATGATTCCACAGACCAGCAGTGCAATTAGAAACTGACAGAAAAGTACTGATACACATAGTTTTGAAATTATTGTGTTGAGTCACTTTCTAAGGAGTGCTATGAGACACAAATTGTTCTGTGCAAACAGGTTAAGATGGCTGGGAAGCTGCACACAAGAGCAGGAAAGAAGCATGGGTCTTACCCTTTACATTCACAGTTACTTGCATTCCCCTTATTTCTGAGGGAAAATACGTAGAAACCTGATGTGTGACTGTTACAGTTTCAGAGCACGTGCCCTCAAAAGTATGACTCTGGGGGCGCCTAACTGGCTCATTTGGAGAAGCACACGACTCTTGATCTTGGGGCTGTGAGTTCGAGCCCCACATTGAGTATAGAGAGTACTGAAAAATAAAATCTTCTTGAAAAACGTGTGATGGGGCGCCTGGGTGTCGCAGTTGGTTAAGCGTCTGCCTTCAGCTCAGGTCATGATCTGGGGTCCTGGGATCGAGCCCTGTGTTGGGCTCTCTGCTCGGCAGGAAGTCTGCTTGTCCCTCCCCTTTGCCCCCTCTGCCCACCCTCCCCCCAACTCATGGTCCTCTATTTTCTCTCCCAAATCAGTAAAATCTTAAAAAAAAAAAATATGTTTCTAAGTCTAAGAATCTAAGAATTAAAGATCCTTTACCTTTCAGATAACAGCTATTAGCCTTAATCACAGAGATTCTTGGGTTGCTGGTAGTCAAGCCCCCTCACTTCTCCCGCCTGTATGTTGTTAAATCATAGATTTGCCATTTTCCCATCTTCAGGTTAATATGAGAACACTTAACCATCAAGTCAGAATAAAATGCTTGTGGGCCTGGATGTTTCTGGTTTGGCCATATGTACTTACCTGCCCTCCATTGTTCAGTGAACAATGCACCAGTTACCTCTACCCAGAGTACGAAGCCTCCCCAGCAGATGGA